AGGCTCAAAACACAAACGTGTCGACCACATTTTCACACACAAACTCTTCTTTTTCTGTAAGTTGCACTTCAGTTTCTCTTCCTGTTTCTTCAACTCATCACAACTTACTGAAACACACACACTTCAGATCAGATCTGCGAAGTTAATCAAGGCCTGGGCCAGTAACAGTTCTCTTATTCAAATAACCGAACGGGAAATAACGGGTAAACTGTTAAACTGCGTTAGGGACATTTTCTCTCTTTGCTTTATCTTTTCGTCCGCTAATTTTGTGGCAGGAACACAGAAGCAAGTACAGCGATAGTGAGCGAGTTGAGGCTGAGTCTTTGTCAAATAAAAGAACATAAGAAAATAATAAAAAAAAGTTTGTTAAATATGTTTGTTGCATAAAGTCATCTTTAAGTTGGTCACAAAATTGTTAAGTCTAGTAAGAATGAACTGTAAGTCACACAAAGTCGACCGTCTAAGAGTTTGTGGCCGCTAATAGTTTAGCCTGATGCCTTCTGCTCTGAAGGCCGTTTACACCGAGACATGATTTCTCATGTTTATCCTGAGACTTGAAGTAGTTTCTGTCTGAAACATTGACGCTGTGCTGTGAGGATGTCCTAAACTGTACACTGTAATATAGGGGCAAGTATCTCTACCAGCAGCGCTGAGCTCGTTTAACCCAGGCTTCATCATTAACAACGGTGAATAAACAGTAATTCAGGACAGCAGCAGTGAAGATCACTTGCCCGGTCTTGACAAGTTTGACAGCGAATAACCGTATTTGATGTTGCCTTTGTTCACTTTCATATGTGAACAGCCCCTTACAATGAGGACAACAGTGTAGTCCTGTTGCGTTGAGCTAAATCTATTCAAATCATGTTGTTGGTACTCATCTGCAGCACAAAGCCTGATTCAAAATGACACTGATATAGGATATTCAATAATAATGACAACAGCTTTAAAATACATTTTTAAAATACATTAAAATGAATTTATTAAAACTATTCATATTTAAAAATGTTTCTAAAAGCAAAGAACAAAGAAGAAACCTGTGTATCTGTGAAACGGTAACTTCACAGGGGAAAAAATCTTAACTTCTAATGAAAGTTAATGTAATAAGATTTGATTTCAAGTCATTTTGGACCATTTTTTGGTCCATTCGTCAAACTTTAACACAACTCAAAGTCTAACAGGAGTTAGGATAAAAATCAAAATGAAGAAGCAAGGTTTTTGGGCGACAGCGACGATATGTAAAAGTTTAGTTGTGTTCATGTTTGGGAAAACTCTTGGTGGTAAAAGTTTTTCCTGCCAAAGTTTTACTGGCACAGACCTACGTTGAAATTAATATTCCTGCTTCTGTGATGACTTCACGGTAAAAGGCCTCAAATAACGCAGTCCATCAGTTATGTATACTAGGACTCTCATTCTTTGTTTTCTAGCTGTAAGCAGACACCTCGCAAAACAGCAAACAGCCTTAAAAACGAGTGCACTCAAACACCATTTCAAAACATACTGCAACAAGCATAGACACACCGCAAAATGCTCTGCCTATGAATTGCTATGTAGTTATTTCACAGTGAAATCGCATTTTTTGCCACATTTAAGAAGCCACAGTTATACACACTTAAAGGAAGCCTCAAACGCTGCCCTTCCCTCAATAAACAAAGAAAGCATTTCACTGGGGCTCATATGTGGGCTACATATATGTGGGCTACCCATACACAGTATATCAGCTACATTAGAGCAAGGAATCAAAAACTGAAACGCAGACAAGACTGTCCGAATGAAGCACTTCACAGCTTTAACCAGACACACTTCAAAACATCAGCAGTGTTTCCTGCAGGTAGATCAGGAAGATGATGCCTGAATTTTCAAATACATACCTCTCCTAGCATAAAATTAGGGCCGTCACTGTAGGATATCAATTACATCAGTAATCAAATTATCTACCTGTTTTATGCTGTTTAATTAAGTAATTTAGCTTTTTTTTTAAAGCCAAACAAAACAAACTGACTTGATTATACAGTAACTTATACAAACTCTAACATTTTTAAAGATTCCTTTAAAATCCTTCACAACTTTATAAAATTTCAAAGCTTAATTGTACAAAGAAATAAAGAAGCATAGAAAAAAAAAGATTTACTGTTATCATCCAATACCTTGTTTATCTAATCAGCCCTTCATTTAATTAAATGAGGTGCTGCTGACGGAATTTTACAAATCCATGTCATGGCTGACGTGCCGTGTAAGTCAGGAGCCAAACCGTGCTCTTCTAACCAACATATTCATAACTTTTATAAAAACAAGAGGAAATTCTGTTTTTCTCTAATGTAATACAGAATTTTACTGTCAAAACGGACTCACACTTACTGCCAAGGTAGTAGTTTTACACAATTTTCTTGGCTGCCAAAGACAAATATAGCTTTTTTGCAAATTTTTTCTGCATAATTTCTATTTATTTGATGAATTTTACATAATAAAAAGTGATTTTGGGCCATTTCTATTGGTCTATTCATCATTAAAATTACAGACAATGTAAAGGCCAACAGGCATTTTCAAATTGTCAAAAATTGAAAATTGGCAAAAATGGAGATACGAGGTTTTGTTTCAACAGCAGTATATATAGATATATTATGCTTACGTTTTATTATATTTTCTATGTTTTAAATCTGCTCTGTAAGTACACAAGACTTGATTTGACTTGACTAATAATTGTGACCACCCTATATTCATATATGAAATAAAAACACACACACACACACACACACACACTCACAATCTCTGCCACAAAGACCCTTTAACTGTGAGTCGTGTTGGCCAAATATCCAGCCCACATTACTAAATGAGGGGTAATGAGCATTAGGCGGACGCTTCCCTGTGAAACATTACTTTCCTGTTGACAGCACTGACATTAGCTCAAGCTCTAGAGAGAGCTTCCGCTCCACTGAGTTTCCTCCAGGCAGGGGAACGGGCTCAGGGGTCCGGCGGCTGCTAAGGTGAGCCGAGGATGGTCCGCTCAGAACAAGCTGCTGCATAATTTTATTCTTTCCATCGTCCTCTCTCTCTTTCTCTCTCAAGAAAAGAAAAGCAAAAATTTTTGTCCACACTCACTTTTATCAAAGCAATTCATGGTCATATATTAGATCTCAAGAAAATTTAGGTGGTATTTAAAAGCCAAAGAATAAAAAAAGAAAAGTAATAAAGTAGTAATAACTCTGGCATCCTACACCACTACAATGTAAAAGTCTGCATTTCATCACTAGCTTTTCAAATAAGAGATCATTAAACAAACAAATACAAGCCTAAAAAAATATAAACAAATAAATATCTAAAATTTTAATTTATTATTTTTTCTAAAAACTAAATAATTATTCAACAACTGATCTCCAGCAGCAAATATTTTAATTTTGTACACAAATAGAAAAAGCGTATTTATGGATGGGCAAAATGGCAGAAATATTATATCCTGATATTTAAAGACATTGCAGTTTTTGGGCAACTGAGAAAACTAAAATTAAAGAGCTGTTTATCTGGTCAGTAAGTGTTTATTTGCCCGTAACACTAATATTAGAATAAATACAAACAGCATTAATACAATAAAAAGTCACGTTCCATATGCCAATGTGTTCGCCTAACCGTTCCCAAACCTTTCCTCATGACAGCCCAGAGCTGATCTGCTCTTCAAACTAGAAATCAGAAATTCCTGCTGCTTTTCACTGCATTTATGTTTATCTGGATTCAATCTAATGATATATGGTGTTTTTACTTGCAAACAACAGACCTAGATGCCAAGATAAATGGTTTTAAACAATGTGCTTGTGCGCTTTTGCACGTTTGATAAGTTAGAACAGACAAAATAGGCCAGTACTGATTTAGCATTCTGATTCAAAAGTATAATGGCTTAAAGTTTCACAAACTTCGCTGCATTAAATCCAGTTAAACAAGATAAATCAGGCTCTCTTTGTAAAGAAACATCCAGTTTGTCGGTGCTATGGTGTCTCTGATATACTCTGAAAATCGTACTGTGATGCAGTTTATTAAGATAATGGTACTGTCACACTGTCCACGCCTAGGTGTAATATTTCAATATGTTGTTAAAACCAAAAAAATAAACATTCGAACAGTGTGGTGAAATTTAAAACGTCTCTCAGATGTGCCCCTCTGTCTCTTCCAAGGGGTCTTACTTGCTGCGTTCCTTGTGAAACCGCGGTAAACCATCAAAACTTGGCATGCGAAGGCATCTTATTTATGTACTGTGCACATTTGCTTTATTTTGCACAAGCATATTGCTGCGCAATCTTTTCTATAACTAAATTTAGTGTTTTTCTGATCTGTACTTGTAATGTTCTGTCCAACCAATCTGTGTAGTGCGTAATTAGATTGATTCCAGAGCGGAATTAAGACAAATATATCAAAAACTCAATCAAATATTTTCTTTAGAATCAAAAATTGTATTGAACCTGAGAACATGCTTCAAAAACCCCACCCCATAAAATAAACCCAGATAAAAAATATGCAATCTAGAAAAGTAACCAGATAATATACGCCTCTGGAAAAGTAACCCATGTCCACCTAACATTAGTAAAGTGTATATAAACCCACCAGATTTTTCTCTTACCTGAAAAGAAAATGAACACAAGCCCCCCAAGTACAAAAGCTAACCCCACAGGTCTTCTTGCAGAGAGGTCCGTCAGTATATGCAGCTATGTCTGACTTGGCAGCTCTTTTATCTGCATCAAGGCTTCTTCCTGTGTGTATGTTTGCGTGTGTATGTTTGTGCTTTAACACTTTCATAGGACTGTGGTCAAAATGCTTTCAGGAAATGAGAAGGAAAAAAAAAAAATTCTGACCTACATTCGAACAACACAGAGCAGCCAACACAAACAGTCTCAGTAACAGCAGTAAACCTGGCATGTATGAGCCATCATGTCTGGGCTAGTCAGGAGCACACTGCTGTGGCTGTGTAAATCAAGTACATGTCATTACAGGGTAAACAACGTCGCTGAGGTCTTTACCTAGAGTGTCTTTGAGGTTCTTGACGATGGAGGCCTTTCTGGCGCTGTTTTTCCTCTCTACGTAGTTTGACGGCACAAAGCCTGTCTTGTTGGTAGCGTTGCGGACCCTCCACCAGGACTTGGAGTCGTCCAGGAGCCAGAGACGCTCATTCTTCTTAATGTCCAGCTCCTGGTCCTGCTGGGCCATATAATCAAACTTGGCAATGACAATCACCTCTTCCGTCATCTTGGACTGTCTTCAACACTAAGGTGGAAGAAACAGAATCAAAAATTAGCCTCAAAAAGTCAACAGGAGTGGAAACAACACAACAGGACATAAACCGTCAAAGACTGAAAGCCTAATAAAGATGTATAACACTGATGTATACAAGAGCTCAATTCCTGAGCTGACAGTGATTCAATTCATGATTCACTGGTTTTCAATTAAAAACTGATTTTTGTGAATTAAGAACGATTCAACTACTCGATTCAGGGATGTGTCACAGAAGTGATTCCAAAGGAAGGTGCTCTAAATAGGCTAAACTGTCTGGATAGACATAAACCCCACTCAGACTGGGTTAGTTATCAGGGGGTGTCCGAACCTGTGAAGCCAACCACCGCTTCTTTTAGAACTGCCGCTCACGCAACGTCACTGGACAGCCGAACGCGCTCGGAGGAAAGCGCCAACCGCCAGATCTGTTACGTCAGCTAACAGGCGCCTGCGCTGACTAGCATCGCGCTGAGTGATGGGGGGAGAAGGAGGGGCCATCATACCCACCCAGAGAGAGCGAGGCCAATTGTGCTCTCTTGGACTCCCGGCTACGGATGGCTGTAGCATCACCAGGGATCGAACTCGCGATCTCCTGATGATAGGGCCAACGCTTAGACGGTTGCGCCACTCGGGAGCCCCAGGGGGTGTCTTTTTAAAAATGATTATAATGATAACAATAATTTTGACATCTCTGCAGTAATAAAACTCACACATTAGCAATAATATTACAACAGAGGGCACAAATTTTGAGCTGTAACTTCTAGGGCTGGGTACAGAAATTCAATACCAAAAAGGCACCGACTGAAACATATCGGTACTACAGAGTACCGAGAAGTCTCAAAAACATTGGTGCCTTTTTTTCGATACTTTGCATTAAACGCAAATCACGAGGGATTATTAGAGTAACATTACTAATGATCCAAAACGCACAGAAACGCAGAGAGCACACAGCTACCTAAATATGTCGAAGAAGTGGAAAGTCCGGCTCTACTTCGAAAAGGTAACTGAGAACAGTCCCAGGTGCAACAAATGCCTTTAGAGAGTGGCTTCCAAAACGGGTAATACACAGAATCTGATGAAACATTTGATTACACACAGAATTCATCTCAGTCAATAAAACTGGGGAATTTTGCAGCGAGAGATGTGAGAATCTGGGCTAAATATATTACAACCACAAACAGACACCAGTGTTTCCAGTGCTAAAATATCATCAGGTAAGTTAACGGTTTATTGTGCACCTTTAATCGCTGTGCCAGAGAAAACTAACGCCGTCTGTCAGCGCTGAAAGCCAGTTAGGATTCAGCTAATGTTAGCATAAAACTAGCACATATTAGCTAGCTAGCTGGCTACAATTCAGCTCCCGTATGAATGTATCTGTAATGCTGATATAATTCATGTTTCGCACGTTTCATTAATGAGCCCTATTAACGTGCATGTTGTTTTCATGTTGTAGGAGAGGGCCTTGGCAGCGCTAGGGCCAGTTCTACCAGTTCTACTCCTGCTAATGCGGCTTCCCACAGAGAAACAACCCTTTTCACTGTAGCAGAAAAGCTAAGGATGTCAGTTGAGAGGAGGGAAGAACGCCACAGAGCAGTAACCAGTGTAACTGTTAAAGGATTGCAGCCCTTTTCTACTGTTGAACGTCCCTGGTTTAGGTAGGATACTCAGGATAGATCACTTGTGTTACCCCTCTATGCATACCTAGAACAGTGGTTACAGTAATGTGTTTGTGCTTTGTGAACACGTTTTTCTCAGTATTTTATTTATTTAGAGAGATGACAAAAGCATTAAATCACAACTATCAGCCCCCTTACAGAGATATGCCATCAAACACACTAGTACCCACCTGGTATGCTGTAGAGAAAGAAAATCATAATATTTGTTCCTTTTTTTGTATTTTTTGTCACAATTAGAAAAAGTGTATTGTAAAAGCATCATTATAGTATCGAAATCGAATTGAAAGTATCGATATCGAACATTTTCAAACGATACCCAGCCCTAGTAATTTCTACTAACCTAGATGTTTCCATTACTCATGGTCATGTGATCACAGCATTTAGCACAAAGCTAGATATTGTGCATATAAACTAAAAATTCTTTAATGACACCTTGTGGCTGTATGTGAATATAAAGCTCTTTGTACATGTAGGTGCCATTATAATCGCCTCTTTAACCAGCCTGCAAGGTCTTGCTTCTGTGATAGGCTGCTAATGCTCCCCCAGTGTAAAAAGGATGTTTAAAGCATCTACTGTTGTGTGATTCAGAAAATATTTAATATGAATATGCACACTAGGAGACTGAATATGGACTAAATATTTTTCCCTCATGATGAAAAATCCACCAAAACCATGGAGATGTGTATGAGAACAGAACTAAATCAGAGGACCACTGAATTTGGTGAAAACAGTGGGTGATTTGGTGGGTAACTGTCTCAGGGGAAAAAAAAAGGAGAAAAATAAACGTCCAATCCAGAAATAAAATCACAGACGGTCACCTGTAAAAGAGAAAATCACCCCAGGACTTCATGCAAATTTAATCCCGTCTGAATAGGGCTGTACTATACACTTACAACAGAAGTAAGACGTGTGTGCACATTAAATAAATCTAAATGTCGATTTACAATGATACACACAAGTCTGAGATGGCATGGAAATTTTTTGAATATTGTTTTTGCAAGATGATTTGAGGAGTTGCGAAGTGGTCATCGAGAAAAAAGGCTTACATTTTAAATAACCAAAATATTTGTAGCTTTATCTTGGAGTTTATTTATAGTGAATTTAAACTTTGTTTTTAAAATGTTTCAACATATGACCAAAATGAATATTTTTTATGTGCCCTACTTATTTTGCTGGGAAAGTATTCATAAACGTAAGGTGTAAAAGAGTACACCCCTTTTTCCTCACTATACCAAAGATGTCTAATACTACGTAAAAAATCTTTTCCTATAATAAAAAAGCTGTGAAAACCTGGACCCTGTGCTCTGATTTTGGAATTTTATGTAGTCCTTCTTATAATTCTGTACAATATTTTTGTCTCCTTGAATTAACTGATATTTCTCTGTACTAGTTTGTTTTATTATGATAATTTATATATTTTTTTATTGATTATTTATATGTTTATTTCTCATCTCTCTCCCCTGGCTGTAGCTTGTTTCTCCAAAATAATAAAGTTTTTTAAAAAAAGTTTCGATTAACACATTTCTGAGAATGATTTCCCATAAAATCTTTCCACAGTAATGTTACTGTGGCGGTGTCTCCTCTGCTGTTCTGTGCATTGAGGACGCAGGGTTTCCTACGTTCAGGGTGCTGCAGCGCGAGGTTTAGTTGTTCTATGACTTCAAGTCCAATACAGCCTGAGCACTTTGTTTCTTCGTCTCTATAATATCATGCTTTCTAAACAAAAACAGAGTGACTGGCGGGTGAGTTAAAGAGCAAGCACACTGACTTAAAGCAAAAAGTCTAACTGTCTCAGGTAAACAGCAACACTCTTAGCTAACCTTACTACCTTCTATGCATGTCAGCATTACGCGATTAGCTAACTACACTACTGAGCATTCATACAGTGTTAAGATGTCGAAAGTCTGATAAAATGAACTGTTGAGCTGTTGGTTGGTGTCTGACCAGCGGTGCTTCAGTGGTTTAAAAATCTCTAGCGCTGCATTTCCTCTGTGATTCAGGTTCTCAGACTGTGAAGACGCCTGAGCCACTCTCACACTGTGAAGCTGAAGTGTGGGGAGAATTTCACATACATATGTAAACATATCACACACATTTGTTAATATAAGTTTGTTTTGTTAACTGCAATTCAGTGTTCAGTTTTTCACTTCTATGACTGATGCAGTCGTATCGGGAGGAACTGTAAGCAACGCGTCACTAAAATGAATGAATCGTGACACTACTAACATGAACACCACAATCTAGACTGAGTATTCTCTTAAGTCTTAGCCAGAGCTTGGCACTGAAACACAATACATTTATAATGCCATCCAAACCTCAGTAACATAAGGCCTATTGCTTTACATGAGGCAGGGTAATGTTAATTTTACCAGCGTTTCTCAGTGATTTTAGGCCCCTCTGAATGCACCACGTCAGTCATTTTACTAGCTGTGTGCTCCTGCTCCCACCCAGCAGGGGTATAATGATACATTCAGCCCAGTCGATTCACAATGCAGAGTTCACTATTTGGTACTCTCACCATATTTTGAACAAAATCTGAATGAAGAAAAATCATGACTATAATCATGTTGAAGTACAGCTTCCTAAAGACACTAGACATGAGAGGCAGGAGGAGCGCTGGAGTCTAGAGTCGGTGCTGATCATTTGCAAATGCTGGTGTTCAAACAAAGCAACTGCATTATTAACAGAGCATTCATTATCAACGATGCACAGTCACAGTTTTGCAATTCACTTCTTAAAAGATCACAATACTCCCCTAATAATAATATAATAATAATAATATCAAAAAGCAAATCGTAACATGGCTGATGTTTATTTTTTTCAACCCTCCCTCAGACGAACTTAATATCACAATAGTCCAGGTTAGTATCAACAACTTCCTGAAAAATAAAACCTGAGGAGAAGAAACTCTTGCTGGAATTTTAGTTGAGAATCTTATCCTTAAAGGGGTTGCAGGGTTTCCTCCATAAATGTCAAGGTGCCCTTCAGAAGATTCAGTCTTCACATCTATCACACCTAAACTCATTCTGACAGCTCCTGCCTGCAAAAGGAAAGCTCGTATTGTGGAAATGGACTATATAACTAGAACACAGAGTACCTGATGGCTTGCAGTGCCACTCTTTACGATGGATGACGGATCCAAAATGACAATGGTTTATTACCCCACCGCAGCCGACCGGAGGTGCGCTGTCCAGTGAGGACAACTGAATCCTTGGGCATTGGTCAGATAATGTCTCAGGTGCACAGTGGTACAGACATACCCACAGGGCTCAGGCCAGCAATCTTGATCATCAGTGCAGATTAGCCTCATGATGACTCACCGATAACTGAAGACTTACAGGTTTGTGCTCTACTGTGCCACTCATCTCTAAACTATTCGCTGTCTTGATTTATGGGCTTGTATCTGAATTAAGTTAGTCCAGGGCCGCTGCTAACGACTAATTAGTTTATTAATCTACAGATTATTTGGCTAGCTTTTCATCTGCTTCTTTGGAATTTTTCAAGGTTCCAGTCTAGTCTAGGGTAAAAAGTAGGGCTGTCAAATAACAGCAAAGCAATACATGATAAATGCCACAAATTTCCGGAACATTAACGCTTCTTCAGAGTTTGTCCCTCTGAACCATCTGCAGTAGCGCAAGCTGAAGCCCAACTGCAAGGTGCTGCATGTCGCTATGATAGAATCCACGATTAAAGCCCGCTCATTCACACCAGCTTTTAAATAGCTTTTAAAGCAATACCTTCAGCACCGTCAGCAGGCTATGCTGGACAGTAGGACCCAAATATTGAACTATTCAGAAATTTGTTTGTTGGGTAGATATTCTTGGGTAGATGGGGGGGCTAAATCTTTTTTTTTCTCCCCTAATTTTCTCCCCAATTTAGTCATCTCCAACTCCACCCAGTAGTCAAGACTCCCCCACCCACATGATACAACCAGCACTAGGAGGGTGAAGGTTAGCACAGGCTTCCTCCGAGACCTGTGAAGCACCACCTCATCTTTTCAAACTGCCGCTCACACAACGTCACTGGACAGCCGAACGCACTCGGAAGAAAGCGCCAACCGCCAGATCTGTTACCTCAGCTAACATTCGCCTGCGCTGACTAGCATTGCGCTGTTGATCAATGCCGAAGCTCCGGAACCCAAAAAATGGTATTCAGGACAGTCCTACTGGACAGTGCTTGTGAAAAGTTATGAATAAATCAAAGAGCAGCAAACTAACATAACCAACAGTAGTGTGTAAAGCTCCAGTTCCTCTGGAGATCCTCCACGGTAATGAAAATTCATAAGCTATATGAACAAGAGCAAGAGGCTACAATCATGGCAGTCTTGAACCAGTGACTGTATATATGACATGTACATTCACTAGTGGGAACATGCAGCCACTGCTGCTCTCACTGAACAGTGATGAAAACTGTAGACCGTGTTCAGGTTCACGTGAACCCTGTAAGCCATACATTGAAAATAATGTTACTGAACTACTGAAAGTAATAAATAAATTCTGATAAAGCTCATTTCATCCACTCAAAGCTGTAACAAAATGCACCTTCTGAGCAAACAGGACAAATGTGAATAATCTCAACAAATTATTTTAAAATTTAACAGCACTAGTTAAATGTTAGGTCTAGAGAGAATCAAACACTTTTACCTGTGCTGCATCAAAGCTGTCAATTCCAAAATTCAGACACCTCAGTGGAGACCTGAAAAAGAAAGAACGATCTAGCATTAGGAATTTCCCCCAAAATAATACAATACAATAAAATAATACAACACAGAAAGATTCTTTACATTGATGGTGGCCATGTTATGAAGGAACACCCACAGACAAAAATGCAAGACTCTCAACATGTTCATTCCCTCTTCCCGATCGATTGTGTGCCATTTGCTAGAATAAATAACGGCCTAATACGTAGCCCATTGTTTCGATGGGTCAACAACAGCAGCTGCCAAAGGACGGTTTACAGTCCAACAAATGATCTCTAAATGATCTCCGTACAGTGAGCGAGTGATCCAGTTTCCTCTGAAAGAATGGCCAGCAGACGTCCATTGTCCCAGAACACAAATCAGGAAGATGGCAAAGGAAGGGAATAGGCCCATCCTGAAGCAGGGCGGTACACAGAGAAAGCAGGACACAGGCATTTCATCTGTGCTTGAGTCAGTTATGATCTTGTAAGGTGTACTAGACGGACGCTGCCAAAACAAAACTTTGTATCACGAAAATAGTGGAGAACTTATTTAAATTAATTTCAGACCAATTCTTTTTAATCATTATATTTTCACAAATTATCAAGTGCATCAATCTGGCATTAGAGCTACGCTTGAGTACTCAGTGAGGTGCCAGTATTCAAACAATGAAATCACTATTCGGGTTTTCATTTCGCTTCATTATAGAAAGACAAAGAAAACATACACATCTCTCTGTATGCTACGGTCAAAATGACACCAAATGAATGAAAAGTTAAAAAAAACCCAAAAATACAATGTTTTGATCCACTAACAACAATATACTACTATTTCTTCCAATACTATCAGTCAAAGCACAGTGTGTTTTTTCTGTTTTTTGCCAAACTTAAAAATGTATTAATTAGTTGGGTTAATTTTGTTAGTAAATAAAAATGTCAAACTAAGTTGCATTTACTTTAAATCAGACCATTCCAAAACAGTCATATATTTTTGGCAAAATATTCTTTTTAGAACGTTAATTCTTTGTGTATTTCTGCAGATTTGCACCAAGAATGCCTTTGTACACTTCTGAGGTCATGTATTACATAACAGAATGCAACATGGGGAAGAACATTTCAGTAATGACGGTTGCGCTTCGGACCGCTTCCCATAGCGGATGAATCCGATGATTGTGGGTGCAATGAAAGAGCATTCGAAGAGAATTCAGTCTAAACTTGGCGAAGGACATGAGTGAATTATCAACTACTGTCATCATATCTTCACCAGTATAACACTGATTTTGCATTTGAGTATTGAGCCTGTGTTTGTGTGATGTTAACTGGTGAAAACGTATTACGTAGTCTGAAAAACACCCAACCAGTCGCCTCGGACATTGTACAGCACTCAGCACATTATCTCATAATCGTTTTGTTTTTTTAGTGCATGATTCTTTCTCCAAAATGCTCAAGCTAAAACAACGAAGACATCACAAAAACACGATGGAGGGACCATCTGAAAAAGCCAACATCAAAGTCAGAGCAACCACACAGTAACCACTGAGAGGTCAGGCTGTTCGGTGCTACAAAACAAAGTGAACAAACTCATCAGTCTCCTCAGGGTCAAAGCGTTAATGGTAAATCAGTAACATGGAGATGCTATATGAGCCCATAAATTATGCTGTCACAGACCAGATGTGATCAACAGGCGGGCCAGCTGTTGAAACCTGGCCATGCTTACTTCAGTCACTTGGACAACTGGAGTCTAGTACAGTCCATTAAAATTGCATTTGTGCAAAAACTGGCAAAGAACTGCTCTATCAAGGACTAAAACTGCAATTTTAAAACAAAGACTCAAATCTGAAAATAGGGAAATCACAACGTCAATCACTCTCAGCAGATAATTGGTTAAAAAGAATTACAGTCCTTGGACAGATATTTAGATTTAACCATTACTTCTAACCGATAACTGATGATGTATTTATTGTGCTCCAGAACAGCAGGATGTTTAGGTGTCGCTGAACCACTGTGCTAAAACAACCGCACTGTATTCATTTTACTGCAATTCCCATATCGGTGCATTCCCGTTTGAAATGGCTTAAAGGGCTCATACCACGGAAAACCTAACCTTCCTCCCTTTTCAGTCTGATGTAGTACGTAAACGTTAGCACAGCTTTAGAGTCCATATGTGGAAACTACACTGCAAAAACAGTCTGTTTTGAATTGACTGTTTTTGTGATGTCAAAAAAAAAAAAGCTAATGCACAGATCCACCTATTCAGCCTACACAGTTTAGCCCCACCCATTCACGTTGAGGTTATAGGTGTTTCAGTCTGGACTGTTTTTGAATGAGTAAAGGGCAGCCAATCAGGACAGAGATCATACATCAGTAACAAAAACAGCCAGTTGTTTATAGATGCATGAATACAGACGACATTACATGTGGACCAGAGAGAAAAATATATTTAAAAAATATATTAGACAAATGTAGAATATGAGTCTTTTAAAAGTAGCTTAACAAATAGTGTCATCTTTGCAGTTTGAAGCTACACGGGCCCATTTTTCTCTCACTTGAGTTCCGATTCATCAGGAATAAGCCAGTCTCATTAATTAGGTTCTGATTCTAGCTCTCGGCTCTTCCAGCGAAGTTTGACTGGTGCAGCGGCTGCAAAGTAAAGTCACACCTAACCACAGCTAAGTCTGGTCTTAGCGGTGCGCCTTCTTGTGAAAACGTAAGTAATAATGACAGTTGCTAAGCAACGTGGGTGACTAAGAAAAACCGCTGCATGCGATCTACTACTGGGAACTGGCCAACTGATGCTAATAAAACAAAAAAAGCAGAAGTCTTCACCAACAGCAAACTTGCAAACTGATACTGCAAAAGATAAAGTCTGCTTAAAGTCACACAGACGGGCAAACATCATAACCGCTAAGTTAAAGAAAATTCAACATGGGAGAGTTCGGGAGGACAGCGCAGTACTTCTCAACCACAGTGCTCCCAAGCTTTATGAGCTGCGACCATCCAAAGATTTACAGGGTGATTCAAAAAGATTCATCTGATTTCAAAGCGCCATATATTTTTACAGCCTAGGAGCCAAACACATACCAACAGAAAGAGGGGGTCATAGAGTTTCTGACTGTCACCGGAAGATGGCTCCCTTCAGTCTGCGAGGAGATGCGACCCCTGAGCAGAAAGCATTCTGCGTTCTCCTCTTCAATAAGAGTGAATTTCGTCGGCAGTAACCTGCAACGGCTCACAGCATTCGTCGTTGCTCATACAACTCTGGATGATCTCCGAAATCACATTGAAACAGCCGTGAGTGCAGCGACACCCGACATGCTCAATCGAGTATGGGATGAATATGACTATGGCGTTGATGTTGTTGGTAGAGCTGAAGGAGGTTCATACTGAGCACTTGTAAAATTACATGATAAACTTTATGCTCACTTAAACCACTTACAGTTTACTGCATTGTTCTGTAATGATTTACAAGTGAAATCATTTTGAAATCGGATGAATCTTTTTGAATCACCCTGTTTTCATCATTTTGGGGAATGAAGCAAAATGTCTGATTTTTTTTGCATGTGTTGTAGAGTGGTTAGCTTATCATGTACTGCTTGCCAACATGCACACACTTAAGCTATTTGTGAAGTGAGCTGTTTAGGCGCTGCTGAACACAACACCAGCTAGAGTGTCGAGCTGTAGCATTAAAAAAGTCTCAAAAAACTCTAACCGGCCTAGTGTGTAGTAGAGCTCTGACATGCAAAGAACTGGCCTTTTAAACTGGTTTTAATAGCCTAGAAAATGTCTAGAATTCTGGAGCTTTCTCCCTACTAGGCGTAAATGTTACGCCTGCTCTTAGTGAGCTGACGTTCAGCCTAAACCAGCCGTAAGCCCTGTTGGTGTGACCGGCACCTGCTGCACTGCTAATACGGTGCTGATCTAGGATCAGATCCTGTGTGTGTCCTTGTGAATAAACATCACTGGCATAACAATACCTTCTATTAGGGCGATGAATAAAACACCGAAACAGTAATATAGGGCTGAGCAACAGGACAATACATGTCATTATCATGAGAGACTATGTCAACACAATAAAATATACTTTTCTGAACAGATCATCATGGATATCATGAGTACTTGTAGAAATGTTTCATTATAAAAGAGAAAATTATTTCCGTTTAACTGGATTTAGTGCAACTAAGTAGCCGCATTCTAATTCAGGGGCTGCGTCCTTCGGAGGCTGCATTTGAAGGCCGATTGCGTCACAGCGGCACGACTAGGCTGTCCCATTTCGAATTCTCCTTCATACGCAGCTGACAAATGTGTCCTTTTTCCATGGCAACGAAGGATCCAACGGGTGGATCTTCACCAGCCAGCATATCCCGAGGTTCATTGCATGCCGGCGAGGATTCGAGAACATGGCGGCATCAGCAGAGGAATGAACGGCGGCTGAGAAGACCCTTTAAATGAAAGTATTGGGTTTAAACTGAGTCGAATAGCTAACGATGCAAACGTGTATCATATTTTTGCCATATTGCTCACCTCTATGATGCACATATTGTTAGACATGATACAATTCAGAGGTCAAGATTCAATCTGATTTTCAACATTATGTATGATAAAATTGTTCAAATGGATTCTACAGAGCTCAAATTATAAACATAACAGATTGATTTGGCTCAGATAAATGAAAATTACCACACAGAACTTTGAGTGCCTGCCACGCTGCCCTCCAACAGAACAAACCCCCAAAATCACAACCCTTAGAATTCATCACTGATTTAAAAGCCCTTATCTGAGTGTGTGCACGTGCATAACAAAACATGACCACTTTACTCTGACAGGATGCACCCAGATGCCTAGTTTTGATTACTCACTGTGGTTTCTTTCCACAAAAAGTGATAAATCAGAGACCTTCAGAAAAGACGAGGAGAATATTGCTGAATCAGATTTAAAATTCAAATTAGCTTTTTTCGTATTAAACAGTTGCACCCCTAAAACAAACATTAATGCAGTCAAAGTGACAAGAATTTATCACT